AATAACCGATCCGAATCGATGAATCAATTCGAAGGATTAGATGAGTCATTAGAGTATTACAAACAAAGACGTCGGATATCGAGCTTAAAGTGTCAAGACCGAGAATCGCAAGTCGAGTCGAATTTAGAATTCGACGAGACGTAAAATCAAGCAAGTAACAAGTTTTGAGCCTAGACGTAGCCTCGCATTGGCCTAGCCATGAAAGTGCTAAGCTAGGCGAGGTTACCAACGCAGGCGCATCATGGGTGCCTAGCATCCCCTAGCACACACACATCGCATGGTACAAGCATCGCAGGATGCGTGCATGCGTGTGTGTGGTGTGGTTGTGCATGCGTGGCTAGGTATGCTAGCATAGCAACGCTAGCCATCGTATCGTGCTAGGCATGGGCAAGCACAGCCTGCAAGCATCGCAAGCATGGTGCGAAGCGTGCTTGCTAGCATGCTAAGACAAGCACCCAGCTATCGCTAGCACCAAGCATCGCACATGCTAGCAGCGTGCTGCGCATGCAAGTGTTAGGCCTTATGTGCTTGCAAGCGTGCTAGGGTATGGCGCCCAGCCCATCGCAGCCTCACACCAAGCAGCAGTATCGCATAGCAGCGTGCTAGGCATGCTGGGCTATGCGTGCGTGCTTGCATAGCAGCTCCTAGCTGCAGCACAGCAGCATCACATGCGTGCTGGCTGGCTGTGTGCTGGCTGGCTCCGCATGTGCTGCGGGCTGGCTGGCGATGTGGTGGCTAGCTTGTTGTGCATGCGTTGCGGGCTGGCTGGCTGGGCTACCTAGCCTTGGTACTAGGCGCCAGCTGGCAGCCTTGGAAGCCAAATGGCGGGATGATCACGGTTTTGGGTGGGGACCGGTTTCAAGGCCTTGCTTGATGAGCAAGGTTATGGTCCCCCCACCCCTTGAAATGGTCCTCACCTAATTCTTCCTCTCCCATTGCCACTTATAGCTTGTTCATTGATTTAGCATTTTAATTTGTTTTTTATTAAAATAAAATAGGGGAAAATGCAAATCTCCCACATTGATTGAGAATGGGAAATCAATGTTCATTTCTCTAAACCCAAGTTTTGGGGATTTAGGAGAACACTTGAGTGGAACTAAAAAGGCATCTCCGTAGTAAAGTGAGAAAACCTTAAGTTCGTAATACTCTAGTTTTTATTGGTCAAGTCCCGACTAACCTTCGGGACTAGGACTGTTCAGGTCGGGTCAAGGGTGCAAGCCGTAGGAGGTCGTCGCACTTGCGAGGCTCGGGCTTTGAAGTAAGAGCTCGTGAATCGAGCGAAGCACGCGTCAAGGGTAAGAATGTTTATTCTCTTTCTCTCTTTTATGTTGTTGATTATGTGATTAAATATTTCGTTGCTTCAATTAGTGAGCGGGTCTTGGGCGGGTTTCTCTTCCGCGTAGCGTTGGACGCTACAAATCCCAACAGTTTTATACCCTGGTTTTTTTTAATAAAAAAAATTAAAAGTATAAAACGCTGTCTCGGTCAGCGTTTCATAGTGTTTTTTTTTTAAAAAAATGAAACGCTGCCTCAGTCAGCGTTTCATGCGAGTATGACATGCGAGGTTCTTCTCTTTGTCAATTACCCTCAATTCTATTCCCTCACTCAATCTCTCTCTAACTTAAAGCAAGAACGTGTCCTGCAGGCCGCCACCCCCACCACCGTCTCCCTCCGACGACCACCCGCCGGCAGCCCCAACGACCTAGCCTCACATCACCCCGATTTTGGTACTTGCCCTCTCTCTCTTTGGTTTTTAAAATCTAGGGTTTGTTGTTGGTTTTTATTTTTTTGGAATTGTGATTAAAATCTTGATAATGTTGAATTGTTAGTGTTGATAATGTTGAATTGTGTTGATAATGTTGAATTGTTAGTGTTGATAGTTGTTGAAAATGTTGAATTGTTAGTTTAGATAATTGTTGATAATGTTGATAATTGTTGATAATGGTTGATAATTGTTAGTTTTTGAGTGATTGTGATAACCTACATTGTTGTTTATTAATGTTTATTTAGTGCTTCTAAGTTGTTGTAATTTGAAAAGTATGTACATTGTTGTTTAATTATGGCGATTTAGGGATGATTTAGTGCCTTTAAGTATAATGTGTTTTGGTTGTTATGTAGAATATGGCTGCACAAAATGTTGTGTTGTTATGCTGGTGGGGAGGTGAAATTTTGTTCGATGGACCTCGTGTCGAGTATAGTGGAGGAAATATGGAACCACTAACACTTGAACCGAACATGAGTTACAATGATATGATGAACGAGGTTCATAGTAGTATTGGTTCAAACCCAAGGAATGTTGAACTAAACATTAAAATGAGGTTTGAGACTGGCAATGGGGTTCAAGTATTACTTGTTTCTACGAATAAACATTTGAAAGTTTTAAGGAGCGTTGTTTCAATGAAGGGTGTTCCCACTAAGATATATGTAGAAATGGTGCCTATATGTACCCAACAAAGTACTCGGCCAGAACAACAAGCTACATATATTTTCGGTTACAACACAGAGTCCTTTCAAGTGCCCTCACACGACATTCCTTCGAATGAATATGGGATGGGATCTTTCAGTAGAATGCTGCACGACGATCAATTTTACATGCCGTTTAATTCTCATATACCTTCACCTGTACATGGGGGGCATATGTGACAATTTTCGGCCAACCTGGTCCTTCGACATCAAACACCGTCACACCTTCACTGATGCAATTACGTAGTTATTCACCTATGGCAGCGACAGTTGGAGTTCGTCATCGCCGGTGATCCAATGCAGGGCGTTATGGACCCTCACGATCCATACATGGTCTGGTACAAGCGGATTACATGGCGTTTCATCAACCCCAACTACACGCCACCATCCACACATTACCATCCAGCCTTTGACGTCATTAGCGGATGTGAGTTTATTTAATTTACTTATTTTCATCCATTTTTAAATTCCTATATCATACAACTGACTGATCGATGATTACTGCAGACGACGGATATGGTGGCAATGGTTGATGCACTATCAGGCGCCCTTGCAGATGGACCCACCAGAGCCCAGGTCAAGCAGGTGCGAGATATGGGGGTGGCTACCTTGCAGAGATATGGTCACGGCTATCTCGTCCACCCGCGGGACAGTCATGAAGGCCACTCCGTCCATTCACAAATCGAGGCCAACCAGAGTAGCGGTGGAGGTGATCCTACGTCACCCATAATTGCAGAGGATTACCTCATCCACAGTTCTGCGCCCACACAAACTCAGGAGGACTCGTCGTCCAGCCAGCATACTCCGCCACCGCCCCGAGACCCATTTACCACCATTACTCATTACAGGCGGCGTCGTGTTAGACAGAGGGACGACAGACGGGATGGAGAACCGTTACCTCAAATAAATGAGTCTTGATAGTATTATCTGATTTATTTGCTGTAATCGGATTTTCTAGTCTGTTGTATATAACACTTACCTTATTAATATAATAAATGTTTTTTGAATGAATCTGTATGTGGTTTGAAGTTGAATTTCCTTATTTGTCCGAATCGGACTTATGTCAGTCAAAATAGATCCTTCTATGCCGATATATATCAAACACAAGACATTTGTTTTCCATAATGAGAAACGGGGTAGAAGCGACGGCCCGTGGTGGTTAATATGGTGGTTGTAGCGCTGTTGAGGGTGTTTGGAGTGTTCTGAAGTGCTTAAGGGTGGGCGAAAGTCCCAGGATGTGGTGGTTGGTGGTGGTCGATGGTGGTGGTAAGGTTGGGGTTGGTGGTGGGGGTGGTTGTAGTGCTGTTGGGCCTTTTGAAGTACATAAGGGTGGTCGAAAGTGGCGGGAGATGGTGGTTGGTGGTGGTCGACGGTGGTGGGACGGTAGGGGTTGGTGGTGGTGTTGGAGGGTGGTGGCTGATTGAAGCCTGGGGGTGGTGTGTTGGGGGCTAAATTTGGAGTGGTAAGGCTACTGGCTGCTAGCTACTGCAGTCCAGCAGAAAAAACGTTGTCTGGGACAGCGTTTTATGTACAAAAAAAAAATTGTACATAAAACGTTGTCCCAGGCAGAGTTTTAATGTATTTGAATTTTTTTTTTAAAAAAAAAATCAGAAATTAAGAAAATCACAAACAAAAAATTAAAAAAAAAAGTCAACAAGTAAACACGCTGTCTTTATACTTTAAATTTTTTTAAAAAAAAACCCGAGTATATAACGCTGGTTCGAGATAGCGTTTTACCCCAAAAGCTTAATTTGGTAAGTAATTTAGCCACAAATCCACTTTGCAAAATACTTTGACAATAAAACTTAGTTTTGAAAAAAAATCCGAAGTTACCACTATAACCCTTGATGAACTTGTTTATCTTTATGATATAAATTGGGTCTTGCTCAACGAAATTTGTCCATAATAATATTCCTCCCATTTAATTTAACCGAACATGAAACTTTGGTTTCATTCAACTCCTTTACATAAATTGAAAAATTCCCAAATATTTAGGTTGGAGTGAAATTTTTACACGATTACTTTTTTCATGATATGTTAACTATCAGTATATTGAAAAATGAGGCTCCATTATTTTTAAAATTAGCCATAGGCATCTGAACACACATGCTAATATGAATCCCATCCATATCCGCGCATTTAATACTACGTATATATTCAATAGAAAAAAGAAAAAAAAAAGGCTTCCCCGATTTATCACCTTGATGAACATGAGTTGTTTATCAAATGGCAAACTTGTAAATAAAAGCAACAAAAAAACACGGTTCATGGTAAAACCGCTAATACCATTAGCGGTTCTACCAAGAATAGTGTTTTTTTTTTGCACTGTTCATCGTAGAACCTCTAACAGTGTTAGCGGTTCTACCATGAATAGTGCAAAAAAAAAACTGTTCATGGTAAAACCGCTAACACCATTAGCGGTTCTTCCATGAACAATGTTTTATTTTTGATATTTATTTACAAATTTGCCACCGTAATAAACAGTAAAACAACTCATGTTTATCAAGGTGATAAACTTGTATTTTTTCGAAAAAAAGGGTAAAATAATAATTTTATTTTTTTAAAAACAAAAGCACCCTGGAGGAAGAGTAGTTGCTACAGGCCCAACTAATTTGTGTTCGAAGCAGAAACTTCTTTCTCTTGGATTTTGGTTTTACAGCATCTTGTAGGGTCTTAATCTCACAAGGATTTGATATCTCATCAGTAGCTATTGCAGCCAATGCTATTGGATTCCTTTGCTCCAGTATCTCAGCGGGGTTGAAATTCGAGTCCAACAGCTTGCCTTCAACGATTTGTTCGTTCTCCTTTTTCTCCATTAGTTTACCTACAAAGAAACCAAATATGTAAGCAAGTCATTATGATGAATCATAAGTGCAGAGGGGCAGGGAGGAGTAAAGTCATAGGAGGCAGAACAGAATAATGAAGGGAAAACACTTAATGATGTAACAAAACAACCACTGAACTAGAGGGAGAACAAAGATTGATAGAAGCTCGAAAAAATAAGATTCAACCAAGTCATCAACCCATTCTGAATAAACTAGATAGCTTCCAGACTACATTAATACGAAGTATAGATAATTTGAACAGTTCCAACGTTTCACAATAGTTATGAACTACCTAAAGCCTGCAAAATGACTTTGGTGATGGGCAATAAGAGCAAAGGCGCAATGGACCTTTTTTTTTTTTTTTTTTTTTGGGCATTTCTCATCTTCAATATAACTTGTTCAAATAAGTGAAACAAAAATTCCAAAATATAACTTTAATGGTTAGTAGCTGAACAAGATGATTACCACAAGACACAAGAGAAGCTTTCAGATGTTTCGAATCCACGCCTCTGGAAAAGGGATCCCTATCGAAAAGCAACAAAAATTGGTAAATGCCACAAGCCTTTGATCAAGCTAATGAACTCAAGAACGGTACCACTGAAAAAAATCAAATACAATTCACATCTTCCTTGAACACTACTCACATACCAACAAGAAGGACCCTTCATGAGCCTCTTAGCTTCAGTAGTTGCATCTACCTCTTCTCTACATGAAGGTTCTTCAGTTTTCATAACATTGCTTTCACTAGCATAACGTTCTTGACATGCTGACTTCCGCATTTGCTGTAATACAGTGGTTTGTTCACAAATAGAATGGCTGTTGTCATTGATAGTACTTAAATTTGGTGTACTAATATTCAATAACGCCGCAGAAGATAGGCGCTTCACACTTTGCTGTTCTCGATCAGTGTTGAACAATTTGACCTAGTGTATTCATATCATATTCGAAGTTTAGACCACTAATATTCCCCCACCATATATATATTCAAGTCTGACTCTATATATATATATATAATGCACTTGAGAAGATAACAGACTCTACTTGAATCTGTATCTATTCAAGTCTCTTTAATGTAAAAAAATGAGCTACAAGCCTTACTGGTATAGAGCTTGTGTGAAATTTTGAATGTTAGCTATGCCAGTGAATTTTCTAAATAATGAATTACTTTACATACAAGGGTGGCCCAAAATCAATGAGAGGAGCGCTTTTTGATGTCATCTCTCCAGCTGAACAGCAAGTTCAACTCAAAAGTCAGAACAGAGAGCAAGTATCGTGAATAGAGTGGATTTAAGGGCCATTTACCATCAATTAAGAAAGGTCACCTAGGCTTATATGGGATAAGCCGTCAGATATCAGAGAATTGAGGTTTTGCATTAAAAAGAGGCTGGTGAAATGTCTGAATGTTGCAGCCAGCAGATCATTCCCCACGGGAAATTGTTACATGCTGGCAATAACAACCCAATACCTTATCATCTGGTTAGTGATGGTGCCTTAGATTCAGCTGTGGAGTCTCTGACAAGTGCTCCAATGGTATTAAATCTTTGACTCTTTCAGCAAAGCACAAAGCATCTAGAAATACTTATCTTACCAGTTAGGCAATACCAGTTGACAAGAGTGGTCTTAAGGTTTTCTGAGTGTCAGTCTCACACTCTCACACCAGTCAGATGCTAATGGTTCCATACAAGAGTGAGACAGTGAAAAAGACCAATATCATAGTAAGGGTACAAGGTAGTTGTCTATAAGAAAAATTCTTTGATGAAGCTCAAGTTTCCCATTTCAGGGACTTGGAAACTCAAACTCAGAAGTCAGAAAATGAAGGAATCAGGGGAAACCTCAACAAAAAATAAAAAAGAATACATAAATAACTAAAAATAAATAATAAAATATAATAAAATTAAATTCAAGTTTACTCTCTGAAGTCCCAAATTAAACCATTCACTTCATTTATGAGTTCAGCTACCTTTACCCAACTACAATAGTTGGGTAGCCATTATATTTCAGAGTTCAGCTACCTTTAATACTTTCTATTTGTCATTATTATTGGTCTCATTTCAAAGCAAAGATATTGGTTACTTGTTTCCGTATGTGTTTCCACTTCACATATTTCTAGCTTTATAAGTTTAGTATAATCATTTTTCTCATTCTGTTTTCATTGCAGTGCAGCATAGGTGTATGAACAAGACCGTTATGACTGTATCTAGCTCTAATTTCAGAGAGAGAGAGAGATTTTGAAAATTGAAAACATTGACTTACCGCATTTTCAATCTTGCTGGTCAAATCAGCAGCTTTCGCAGCAGCAATTCGCAAGCACTGCATAACAACACTTGGGGCGACACCAATTTCTCCAGCCTTTTGAATGGCACAGACATCTTCACTTGCATTAATTGTAGCTGTCAATTTTCCTTTCATAACGGCCTCTTCGTAATAAGTAGGATCTACCACCTGAATCATCACATCACATGCTGAATCCACCCAAATGACAATGCCAAACAGCACTAGGGTATTGTTTTGTATCTTCACCTCTTACCAAAATGTTTTCGGTCATAAATCCAAATGTCACAGCTATAGGAAGATGGTGAACTATCAATGGAAGTGGTTCCTGCACCTGCAAAGGAAACATCACATGGAAACAGTTAATCAAACGGATAGATCATCCCAACACATGTCTACAGAGCATACAGTGGTCACATATCATAAGAACAAGAGCAGAGACTGTTTCTCCGATGCACCTAAGGAGTAATAGAAAAGTTTAAGGCAGATAATAAATCATACTACATACACAAATCACGAATGACATAACTACCAGAACAAGATCACTATCAAGAAAGGCAGGAACCGAGTTCTTTATCAAGATAGTTTAACAACCTCGAAACAGAGGAATAGTGTAAAAGGAATATCAACAGTGGGCAGCACAAATATGTGAAGGAGAAAAAAGTGTGAAAATGCTCAGCAAAAGAACTGATTGGAAAACAAACCTTATGACCAATGGCATTAATGGATTAAGACCATTAAGTAGGCCAATTCAAAAAAATGATCTCATTATGTTGCTCTTGAAAAAAAGGTATTGGCATGATGACCTCATACTATTGCAAATTCCACAAGGAGGGGTTATTTTTTTTGGCCGTTTTCTCAAGTGACCCTTTGGTATGCATATATTCATAACATGTCCCAATAGCTCATTTGAAAATGGCTAACTCACCATTTAATAACTGATTTTTAACTTTAATCATTAAATTACAAACCTAACCATAGTTAACACCCCTCTTGACCAACTTAGACCATCACCCCAACCACCCATAAATCCCTCACCAACCCAACCTGACCACCCACAACCCCAACCCAGCGCACCAACAACCACCTTCCACCCACCAAAAGTGACCAGCTAACCACCAAATAAAACCACCCACCAACTGAAATATTTTGCTCGACCTCGAAAACCTCCACCCAACCCTTAAAGCCACCACCCATCTTTTGAAATCCCTATCCACCTACCGAAAACCACCACCCAGCTCTCCAAAAGGCAAAAACCACCATAAATCCCTAAAACTTCTAGAAACCGCCAAAACAACCATCTAACCGACCGAAAACCACATTCACCTTCACTCCCATCTTACTTTCTCTTTCCACACCTCTAAACACTAAATATAGTGAAGATAGGAAGGAGAAGATGTGGTGGCCAAGGTAGTTGGGTTGGATGTGCTAACATGTTCACCAGACGTAGTTACTAGGAGGGGTGGTGAGTCAGGTGGTAGTGTAGACCTGTAGGGATGGTGGGATTGGTGGGGCCAAGCATGGGAGTCAACATGGATGGTGGTGGTTGGCAAGCTGTTGACATAATAAATGCAGGGGTAAGCAAATTAACCATTTAAGTCCAGGTTAGCCATTTTAGCATTAAATGTGTCATTGGAACACGTAATAAGAAACTTCACGTTTAAAGGATGCTCCATCTACAGATCCTAATTAATTTAACTACCTAGCATTTTATACTTTTTAAAACCATAAACACAAACAAAAAAGTTACGTGAATATAGCCATAAATAACTTTATCATAGCAAGAGCTAAACTCATTAACATAATCATCTAGCCTATTGTTTACATTCTGATGGTTGCTATTAGATAGTAGGCACATGAAAGAAATATCAGCTAATGCATACTTTCACTTAGCTAAATACTTCATCAGCCACAATAAGTGTTGGTTGTGTTGCTGGTAGAAGTCAGCAACTTATGATAAACGATAACCAACTTTAAAACTAGAACTGAAAACCACTCACTGTCTAAGAGCTCACATTGGCTTTTTGGTTGTATAACTCTCAGCAAATTATTAACAGAGAAAAGTCAGTCATAACCTACCATCTGATCCTTACCCCAGCACCATACACATCCATGTAGTAGGATATCAATCTTGTTGTTGTTGTTGTTGTTGTTGTTGTTGTTGTTAGTAATCTTAGCATGTTAGTTTATTAAGATTAGGATGCTAGAATTTGAGTTACAGCAGGATGCTCAATTGTTTCTCATTCTCCAAGTAGTGTTTAGGCTAAGGGTACCAAGCCCCACCAACCGACCTGCAATATTTTGTATTATTTAAAGCAATCTAGAATGATTTAAATAAAGAATTTTGTTTACAGATGTTCTTCCACATCACCTCTCTATGAGTGCACCACACACATGCTTGCGTATAGTGAAGTGCACATTTAACATAGAAATTTAATCATGCAAGTCATAAATAAAGATAATGTTAGTTTAACTACTATAAAATACATATATTGAAGGGTGAGAAGGGTAGCATGTATACCAACAGTAACCAGACAAATTACACGTAGGGTAAAAGTCTATAACATTCATGAATTTCACATTGATTGATGGCACTCATAGACAAGGATTAAATCATAACTATGTCTTATTAAAAGGGTATGAACTATGAACACACCTCTGGTGGATGTACAACTACTTCCTGACCATCTTCTCCTCCAAGCGTACATACAGGCCGTCGAAATGTCATCAGAGATGCCAAAGCAGCAACATTTGCAGCATCGAGAAGATTTCTGTTTCCAGCAGGATAATTTGTAAATTGTAAAGATGTATCACATTAACTTACTGAGGTTCTTCAGATAAAAAACATTATAGCTTACCCTCCATTATCAAGAATGTGAAGATCAAGACGGACAGACCATACTAACTTGCCAGCTAGAACACAAAGTGATTCAGTATCAACTGCCCTGCTCTCCCTGCAGCATCGCTTTCACACTTTTACAAATCATAATCTCCAAATCCCTAAACATGGAAACACCCAAACAGAAAGAGAAGGAGAAATAGTAGATGGAATAAAAAAGATGTAATCTTTTTCAATATAATGATTACAAATAGCAACAGCATCACCAAAGAATTAAAAAAACAGGCAAGATGAAACCCAAAAAAAAAAAAAAAAAAAAAAAACACAGAATAATTCTGAAATGTTAAGTATAGCATCAGGCTGTCAGTGGACACTAAGGCCATCCAAAAGAGATCAGATTCTATAAGAGAATCCAGTATTTTGATTAAAGATTTTATAAAAAAACAATTGCGATAAGTTCTGGTCAGTGGTCAATTAGCAACATTTTCAGCATCACCAAATTTATGCAACCAGCAAAAAATAAAGGATATCATAAATATGCATTTGAATTTTACAAAGCAATTTTAGAGAAATTAGACCAGCAATACTATGTTACTGGACTCAGTTACACACAAGATATTACCAACCAACTCAGGCCCAATCCTTGAGGGACACATGTGAGCCTCAAAATGGTTTTCTTCTTATACATGAACCAAGATCCTCATTTCCAAAGCGTCTCAAACAAATGATTTATTTAAGATGTAGGCTGGTTCCAAATCTAGAATTTTACAAAGCATTTTATGACTAGCAATACTATGTTACTGGACTCAGACAAATTGGGGCGATCAACGTTAGCCACAAGATATTACCAATAACTCAGGCCCAATCATTGAGGGACACAAGTGAACCTCAAAATGGTTTCTTCTCATACATGACCCAAGAACATCATTTCCAAAGCACCTCAAACAAATGGTTTTTCTAAGATGTAGGATGCTTTCAAATCTCGAAAATTATAAAGCATTTTTAGACTAGCAATACTATGTGACTGGACTCAAACAAATTGCGGTGATCACCATTAGACACAAGATATTACCAACCAACTCATACCCAATCCTTGAGAGACACAAGTGAACCTTGAAATGGTTTTCTTCTCATACATGACCCCAGAACATGATTTCCAAAGCACCTCAAACAAATGATTTTTCTAAGATGTAGGATGGTTTCAAATCTCGAACGTAATAGCAATTGCAAATTCGCATAGCAATTGTGATAATGGTCACTGAAAAACTTTCATGGTTGATGTGGATGGTCTGCCACTGCCACTGCCACGGCCTATTATCACGGTCACGTTAAGCTCAATAACCTTTACAATGTGGCCATGATGCGGCCGAGCCATAATACCGCATCTGGAATACAAAAACCTTATAAATGAAAGCTGAAGGCCAAATAGGCAATTTGAAGAATCAAATCCTTTAGCAATTTGGGATAGATAAGTAGATAACAGAGATAAGCAACCAATTAGGAATCTTAATTGACTGGGTTAACACTGTCATATTTGAACACATTTTCTTTACAGCATTCAGGGTGTAAAATTACTAGATCGACCATCATAAAATTTTCCCAGGAGGGCACACTGTTAAATAATTAATTCAGAAAGAATCTATTCTAAGAAAAATAGGTTTCAGTTTCATGACAGAAGCAAACACTTAACAACAGATTCAATAAGGTGACACACGGCAATAATGTAAAAATTAAGATGTAAATATCAGTAGGGAAAAACCTCAGACCACGGTCTATTATGCGTCCCAACTCTATCGCTGACTCTCCAGGGCGACCAGCCTCAAATGACGGGTCAGCCATGGGTGAAAACTCTGTGTATATATTAAGTGATCCTTCATTTGGCCTGTCTCTATAAGGTTGAACTAGCTGAGCAGTGACAAAGCTCATGACATGAGTCTGGCCAAGCTGTACCTCAGTTGATCCGTCTTTCCTGCAATTTTATCACAATGATTGAATAATTATATTTCACATACCATATCAGCAAGCAATAACATAAATCCAATATTAAACCTGCGAAAGGATGGAGGCAGAGAGCACCTAGATGTACATCATTTTCTCTGACCATTCAAGAGTCTAGAAAGTTAAAACTTAAAAGACAGTTTATACATTAATTTCGCAGCAAACACCTCATGAATCAATCTTATATTCAAAACCATCATGTGGAACAAGCAGCTCCAATCCTAGATGCCATTCATTTAAATGGATGTTTTGAGATGTCTATGAGGATTTCCAGAAAAAAGCTTTCTTGAAATAATGGTCGATTCTTGAATGCATCCTAGAAGGTTTTAAATGACGCAAAGCAGAAAATCTCTTGTACTTGGGGTCATTTACAGACAATAAAAGCTATGAAGAACCCAAAAGGAGGCTACTTTTATTTACTATGCATAAATCAGCTCCAATCCAAGATATCACTTATTTATATGGATGTTTTTAGATTTTTATGAGGATTGCCCAAAAAACAGCTTTCTTGAAATAATGGTCAATTCTTGAATTCCCTGTTTCTCTCTCTCATCTTACCCCAACAACATTTACACATTTTCACTCATTCTCTTACTCTAACCACCACTTTCTTAAATTCACCCTAGGTTACTCACTTGTTGTCTAACATGGGTGTGTGACCAATTTGTGAGAAAATATTTCATTTTCTTGGTCCAAATCCTCAGTTATTTTACTTACCAGACCACAATTAAGTTTTTAAAGTGTGATTCATAGTCTTTAACTGTAAGTCTATGAACAACGTAAGATCCTAAACAACTTTCTTCCAAGCAAACCCCACAAGACTTTCTATTTGAAATTTAGAATGTTGTTTGTGTTTTACTTTACCTGATAATCTGATATGTTAATTGTGTGATTTACACTTCAAGTTTGCACAACCAAAAATAGTAAAAAAAAAAAATAAAAAAATAAAAAATAGTTTTACGCAATAGTCAAGGAATCTCTTAAAGAAGGCCAGCCAGAGAAAGAAATATTGCAAATCAAGCTTTATCATACAAGGAAAATCCCATACCCCCCCCCCCCCCCTTCCAACCTTTTCCCTAGAAGCACCAAAATGAAGCAAAGATAAGTTGCTTCATCAATCTAGACCCAAAGAAGAAGTCCTATCTCAGAAAGTATCATCACCCTTTCTAGACATTAAACCCCAAGAATCTAAGATTGCTAAATACACCAAAATAAATAATTAAGCATCCACCATTTATAACTCCCACAAGTAACATAACTGAAATTCTACATACTAGTAAACTAGTAGATATGTAATCATGTACTCCGTGACATGACAACAAAAATGATTCTCTTCTACTTAGTTTCAAAGTTACACAAGATTCATTTTGCATGTATTTACCACTTACCTGAATATAATTTTTATGTTTTAAGCACAATAAGACTCTGTTATTTTCAGAATTAGCTTTGTAATTAGAATCCTCATACAGCTTGAATTCTACTTACAGTTCTGCCATATTAGTCAGCTTTGTGGTCTAGTTACAGTAGGATTTTAATTAGTCACTTTTATCTTTTAGATCTAACTGTATAGATTCAAATCACAGTTTAGTAAGGATCCTAGATTTGATACAATATACAGGCATGCATATCATTCAATAAAACCGAAGTTTAGTTGGAATTATATTGAGCATAGCTTGTTGACAAAGAGAACTTCATAGATTTGTTGGTTTGCTTAATCTAAACAACATTTGATGTGATTTGTATATTTTTTATAATCTGATTAGGAAGATACCCTTTGACTTGTGAGATTGAGTAATAGAGGTCATCCCATACATTTTTTGCCATTAAAACACACATCCATGAACAAAATTTAATAAAATTTTCTGGAATTATTGTGAGTTATTTCACGTTAATTACACTGTGAATGATAATTACCACTAATCGTCAGTTAATTATCAATTCAGATATTTTATTAATTAAGTTTTCATCAATTCATCAAATCCTTATATTACAATTCAATAGTGTTTGTGTTAAGTACATCAGTTACTCACATCCTCATGGATCAACTCATGTGTTCCTACTAGCTTCATATACATACAATACTATATAGAAAATTCTTAGTTTATAACCTTTAGCTGTGTCCTCAAACCCATGTTTGACACTCGAATATGTATACGTACCTGACAGGCTAACACTAAGAGGAAGTCAATGTTAGTATAAAACATTAATCAACATTGATCAATTTCACAAACATGAACAAAGTAAAACCTTATACGTAAACCACAAATTCAATTACTGCATTTACTTTAACACAGACCTCCCCATGACTTATACCAATGTCGGACTAACATATTATAGAACCAATTCAAAAAGGACACCAACATAGCTGTACAAAACACTTACCTACCGAACTTAATTGTTAATTCGCGGTAGTCAAAAGGGCGCCTTCCATCAGTTCTAAGATCCGAAAGCAATGCAGTCTCTATAAACTTCTTCTCATTTATAGACATGTGCCAAGTATTAGCTAGTCTCTGTTCCATTTTTCAAACTGTAAAAACCTCAGTTAGAGATTGTTTAAAATCCACAAATTGCAATCTTCAAACTAAGATGACAAACAAACATTCAAACATTATTTCAACAACCCATTTATCACAGAACGTGAGCCAGGGCAGGAGGAGCAGCCGCCCCGAACCCGGAGAAAAGGTCCATTTTCACAGTTCCGTCCTAACATTAAACGGTTATATAAACAAATTCCTGCAACAAATTAAAATTTAAATTTTACTCCGTCCATAAATTGCGATTCATGTTAGCCGACCCCAATTCATTTTGGGACCAAGGCTTTGCTGTTGTTGTTGTACCAGAGTAAGTTCGATAAATCAAGTTACATTCTCCTGGCGTAAGTATATGAATAGAAAAATTTTAGCAACGAAATTTCTCGTAATAATTTTTCATAACTTTAGTAATTGTAACCAATACAACAATCTACCTAAGAAAAACCCTAAATTGAATATACTGACAATTAAATCAACGATTAGATTTGATATTTGATGATTAAAGAGGCAAAAACACTTCTAACCTTGGAAGCTGCTTTAATGGCGAGAAAAAGCTCATAAGCTGCTTTAACAATTTTGAGTACGCTTCAATGGAGGGGGGAAATGGGGTGATGGTAAGTAGTATAATAAAGGAGCGTTTGGTTTGCGGTCTTTAGGAAAGAGTAAGAGAATTAAAAAAAGTGATTTGTTTCCTTATTTGTTACTCCTTTCATATTTTAATAGTTGTTGTGGCCCTGGCGGCCGGTATTACGTAGAGATGGTAATATTAGGGCTTGTTTGTTTGACATAAAAAAATAAGGGAAGTGAGACTTTCTAAAGATTGGAACTTTGCAAGTTTTGTGTGTTATTTGGTTGATAAAAATTTGGTGAAATGGGAGAAGTGAAACTTCCTAGGAATTTTGAGTTCCCTTAAAATATAGGAATTTACTTACCTAATTCCCCCTAGATAAGTAGAAATTCCCATGGGAAGTTACTTCCCTCATTGTTAACCAAACAATTTTATGAAATTCCCATGAATTTAATTCCCATAAATTTGCAATTCATGGAAAGTTCTAATTCCCAAGTGAATCAAACAACACCTTAGATGGATATCTGCTAATCAGATCCATCTACTTAAGATAAATGGACGAAAACCCGAAATAAATGAATGAAAAGTGGGTGACGGATGGAGTGGATGATGGATCAAATCGGATGTGGATGATGATTTATTCACTCGCTAACCATCCATCCACCCGTTTAACATATATAAAGATTTTTAATCTAAGAATTTTAATTAAAAAAATATAAAATATATAATAAAAATAATTTAGTTGTTGCTTAATTTTTTTCAAAGAATATATAGTTAGTGCTTCCTTTTTATTTGAAAATTAATAATAATTTATGGTAAAAATAACCATAAATTAAATTTTATGTGATTTTTTTTTTCAAAAAATGTTCATCCATTAGTCCCCCGATCGATCCGTTTCATCCGCGAATGATGGATGGACGAATACGAATGATGGGTGAAGCGGGTGATGGATGGATGTGAATGAAGCGATTGGATGGATGTGAGTGAAACTCAGATTCGATCCATTGCCATCTCTAGTGCTGTTTTGGGGTTTTTTGGATGTCCTGCGGGAGAGTTACAATTCCAAGACTGGTCTCTGGACACCTGTACCTGCAAAACAGTGGAGACTCCGCTTGGGTGGAGTTCCGCCTCCAACGATCAAGTTAGAACGTGTTCGGAAGATGTGAAAGTGTAGAAAGTAAAGTCTCTCTCGGATTCCAAGAGAGTATCTGCAATTAATGATTGCTCAGTTTTTGTGTATTTGTCAATTGTCCGTTTCCGAGGGGAAACATCTCCCTTATCTAGGGTCTCGAAGTGCGTTCCTAGTACTAGGTTACAGTAACCTAGGACTGACTGGGCTTGCCTAGGAGTTTGGGCCTATTAGGCAACCTTAATTTCCTAGTTGGCAATCCGTCTGCCACGTGTCGGGCCCTGAGTGGTCCACTTTGGACTCTTCACGGAGTGACACGTGGCGGACTCTGGTTGGTCCACGTGGATGACACGTGGCAGATTCTGGTTGGTCCACGTGGATGACACGTGGCAGAGTTTTTATTGGTCCGCGTGGCGGGGTTAAATCCCCTAATCATTTGCCCCTCACAGGGGTAACGTGGCTTGCCACGTGGCGCTTGTGACAGGTGTCACACTCTGATTGGCCAACGATTTTTACCGTTTGTTTGTTGTTGTTTTTTTTTTTTCTTTTTTTTTAAAGTGTCCCTTGGAATTACCCCCCTATAAATAGGGGATGTCCAAATCATTTTTGGACATTACTTGAAATTTCAGACAGAGACTTAGACTTAGAACTTGTTATTCTCTGAGAAAGAACGACTGACGCTTACTACCTGCCCGCCTGCTCTTACAGCCGCCGAAGATTTTTCAAGCACCTTCAACTTCCCAGACTAAAAGGTAACCGCCTGTTATTCTTTCGCAATTTCTCTTTGTTTGTTTTCCTTTTTTGAAAACGGTATCCCAAAAGCACACGGCACGACCTAGGTTAGTGATCAGCCGGTCACCGGGGACGGCTAAATCTAGAACTAGGAGTGCCGACTGCCCCTTGTTGGACCACTCTTTGCGAACTTCTCCAAGTCCGACTGTCTATGTGTCTGTGCAAGACACCATGGCCAGAATTAAACAAACTACAAGAGTGACGAACTCAGACGGCTCCTCCTTTTATGCGCCTGTCAGTGAGCTATCTGACGTGCCGCCTGGCATCCCAAGTACTCCCAATGATTCCATTTTAGAAGAATCAGGGAAGGAAGCTCAAAATGACATTTCGGGCTCTCCTGAACAGGCCCAGCAGGTGGACGATAGGTCCGACTGCTTTGATAGCGAACCTGAAACAAGTATCTCAGGCAGGCTGTCTGACGCCTCTGAGGAATTGCACTCTCGGCTGGAAACAACGAGAGAATCCATTGCCGTGGAGAAGGGAGATGATTGGGTTGAGCCGTCTGCTGGCCGGCGAGATATGTATGCCGCCTATTACTGTCACGTTCCCGAAGGCAGGCGGAAGACCATGGCTGAAAAGATTGGTAGTTTTAGAGTCGACCATATTATGGGTTACGGTTACATCCTTTGCATGTCGGATGCCGAGGATACCGTAGTCTGGCCAGAGGGGACCAGCTTTGGGGACGAATGCTTTGGTTGTTACGAGGCGGCCGTTCAGGCTGGCCTTCAATTTCCCCTCCATCCGGCTGTAGAACGAATTCTGGATGGATATCAGCTGGGTGTCTAGCAACTTACCCCCAATTCTTGGTTCAACATTTTGGGGTATGTTGTCGGCTGTGAAATGATGAGTGTGGATCCCAGCTTTGAGGCATTCGCCCATATGCACTACCTCAGCAAAACCCCAAAAACAAGCGGTGCCGGCTGGTACACTTTGTCTAGCCACAAGGGCTACATGATGACCATAGGGAAGGAGAACAAATGGAAAGACTGGAGAAATAAATTTTATATAGTTTCCTGCCCTGACAAAGTGAAAAATAAGAAGTACATCAGGTGGAACCGTAATCCACCTTTCCTAACAGGCGCCACTGAAATGCCGTCTGTTCCCAGAAAGGCAAAAGAGGAGATCCTTGACCAGGGTCTCTTCAAAGTGGTCATTTAGGCGAAATAGGGGCGAGAGAGTTCATCCCCCAAAGCTACATTCCTCGTCATGACTGGTTGTTTGACAAGAACTACTTGGCCGCTTGCGATCTTAGTGTTGAGAGGTCGCTGAATGTGTTTACAGGTTTTGCAAGACTTAGTTATTTCTTATATCTTGCCTTACCATTTGAAATCTTTTTTGCAAACAAAGCAATGGAAAGACTCCCGACCTCAAAGAAATAGTCGCATACTACCGCTCCCTCTTGGGCAAGCGGTCAATTAAAGAGAAAGGTGAACTTCTGTTCAATTTGAATAAGCTTCAGTTTATTTTCTGTCACTTGCTTCTTACTTATTGCGGTTATTGTTGTAGGGCGAATCAGCAAAACCTTCCTCCTCCTCACAGTCGGATCCTAAAATTAGGAAACAGGAGGCTGGTGATGTGAGAACTCCTAGTAAACCCGGGAAACATGTGGCCAGTAGGCCAGGGAAGAGCCATCCTCCCAAATCTCTAGCCGTCCTTGGGGTCTGCCGGCACCAGAAGGAGAAGGGGGTGGCGGTTGAAGGTATAAAAAACTTTAATTCTTTACCTTACCCTTGTAGGGTCAAATTCCAACAACAGTCAACCAGTATGTCTAAAAGCAACCGGTCTATTGGTCGAATTTATACCAAGTATATACAGAGTATTGATTGTGCAGATGCCCCTCAAAGGCCAGATCTTCAACAGCTGGCCAAGACCATGCTGAGAGCCATCTCCCTTGAGGACAAGGAGGCGGTTAGAGAGGTCGGCACCCTTAACCTGGACGTCATCCTTGCTCTCCTGGCTGAGGTATACTTGTAATTTTTTACTTCTTGTTTACACAACCTTTGAGCCGCCTGTAACTGACGTCTTCTTTTTGGCCGAGTGCAGTCTATGCTGCGAGTGAACGGTCTTCGCAGGCCCATAAACGAAAAGACCAAAGAGGTAAAAGCGGAGAAATATTGGGCCGCCTCTTCTCTAGACACAACTATGTTTCAAATTGCTCAAAATGAAATGATGACGACTGACATACTGTATTCACAGGCGACCGCCAACCTGCAGGTCAAGGCAAAACCAGGAAGTCCAACTCTCCAAGAAGTATACTTCAAGGGCTAAGGAGGAAAAGTCGGCCCTAGTCAGGGACATGATGGACGACTGCAACACCATCATGAAGATGACTTGGGGGGCTCTTTTCCCGGAGACCAGCTATGATAGCTGGGAGAGTCAGTTTGTTGCCTCCTCCAAAGAGTATAATGACTAGATCATGAACCAAGCCCAAGAGGGTGAGGGAGAGGAGGAGGAGGAGTCGTCTGATTCTACCTCGAGGGAGTCGGACCAAGAAGAGGAGGAGGCAGATGCTAAAAAGAAGGAGGAGTCGGCTGGGGAACAGAAGGATGCGGCTCCTGATGCTGAAAAGCCTCCTCTAGAAGCTTAAGTCCTTGGGTGATTTTTCTGCGGCTGGATGGCCATGTAATTTTCTTCGGCCTGCATGCTGCATGCTTTTGATGTAACTTTACCGACTAAGAGGTCGGGTTTATTAACACTTTTCACCGGTTGCACCAGTTAACTTTTTTTGTCGGCCATTAGGCTGACTGCTTTAATGAATCATCTGGCCAATAGACCGGTTTCTCCATTTACACTTGGTCTGAAACTTTTGCATTTCATAAATTTTGCAAAGTATATGTAACTTGCTTTTTTCATGAATGCTTATTTCATTATACTGGCTGTTCTTTCCCCTAAGCGACCGTGCGCCTAGTTTTCAAAGGTGAATTGATTGATTTGGGAATTTTTGATACTCTAAGGAGTATGACTAATTTTCAAGTCAATCAATCACTATGGTGATTGCCCCAAACCAGGCGGTCAGTCCGGCCATTGCATAGGTGAACATACAGCATTATCCGGCACTCGGCCTCATGATAGTTCTTAAAGGCGAACCACGCTTAGTTACTAAGTTTTGTACTTAGTTTATTTTATTGATTGTAAATTGACCGTTTGTATGGTACCTGTACAGAAGCAGGCGTCAAACGGGTTGTTTAATCAAAGTAGCAAC